TCCACGACCCCCTAACGGAGACACAATGATCCTTCCCATACTGGCCAGATATTATGTGTTAAAGGAATATCCTTCCTTAGGCTTTAGTAAGCATTCGCATCCAGGTGTAATGTTAACCTACATCTATTGAGGATAAAATTTTCACCTACAAATTGACAATAACACATTTGCTGTAATCAGACATATCTAGTTGCCTCAACAATTGCAACCCCAGTTGCAATTGGGGTTGCAATTTCAAATTCTGTGTCATTACTTAGGAATAACGAAGTCTCTGGTGCACTGCACTCTAAGATTAAGAGAAAACGGACTCAGGCATCCTGAAGCGAGAGAAAACAGACTCCTATGATGGGGGACACAAGCACTCACACGTGCCACTAATACTGACAGAGTTGACACTCACTTACTTGACAAGTTTTACCAACCATTAGTTGTGTACGTTATCTAGTGAATTTAGTCAATATTGTACAGTACAAGTACACTGCAATACAGTGGTCCCTTGGTTAACAATGGACCTGTGCAAACCTGTACTGTACATGTACTAAATGATTACGGTACTTAAATTGTTATGTCTATTGCAAATATAGATTGTTTATACAGGTATTCAAATAAATCACTATCTTACAAGAATCCCAGCAATGTAAGTTATATTCACCCAGGTCGTTTGGGTGGCAAATTATGAGAAGAGCTTAGTCACTCTTAAGTAATGATAAATAAACACGCAGGCCTTCAGCGCCAACTGTCAAATCTTATCTCAAATAAATAAACACACATCAGACACTCTGTCACCTCACCTCCCGCCCCCCACTCTTCCCACGCTTGCTGGCTACCTCCTGTAGGTTATGTATCTATGCTACTGTGCCAAGTAGCAACCTTGTAAATAAGCTACTGTGCCGAGTAGCATTTATATATATAATTACGTGGCAACACTGCACGTGTTATGTGGCAACATTGCCCCGAGGCTGCCATATGGCAAGGCAGTCTCAGTCTGACTCTGTGGGCCGTGCATGGCACACGCTAGTCACCACTTGTATTTCTCCTACACGTTAATAAATGGACTTCAGTGTTACCCGGTGTTTCCCTACCCATCACTGCCTTCTTCAGGAAACACTTGGAACCTTCACCTCCCTCCTTGTGTTCCCAGACAAAAGATTGGTGATAACTTTATTCTTTAAGGTGTTTATTTTATATAATATCTCAGACTAAAGTTAGGAGATTATAATTTGCATTGCTGGAATCCTTGCAAGACAGCCAATAATTTAAATATAAACGTCATATATTTTGCTCAAGAAATAAAAATTGTAGTACAGTGATCCCTCGGTTAACGAGATTTCGGTTAACAAGTTACCTCCCATAAGATTCTTAACTTCGGTTAACGAGCAATCCCTCGGTTAACGAGTTTCCTACGAGCCGACCTCAACAAGTTTTGGCTTGCACTTGGGTGTCAACCAGCTTTACTATTAGTCCGCCAATACATTAATCGGTTCTAGGGCTTAAATTCTTTACTATTTTAGTAAATATCAAGAAGTTTATACTATTCAATAATTTTTAAAGTTTAATATTAAAATTTTTAGTCATTTTAACAATTATTGAACATAATTGAAGGTGAAGTGACTAGTTTTATGTGCGCCATCCAGCCTCTTAACACAGCAAACAAGCGTTAGTCTCTCTCTGTTTTCAGTGGAGGTAACATCTTGCTTGAGACTCTCTTCAACTAAATGCTTTTTTTGTGTTTGCAAGCAAATTATTGGTCATTTTGAAATTTATTTTACATATTGACAATATATAGCGCAGTGCAGTGTTATTCTCAAGAAAATATTCTTTATTTACAGCAAGTTTATAACTAAAAGATCACGTGTTGACATTATTTGAATCCAGCATGGGGCCTAAGAGATCAAGAAAAGCGATTTCAATCCAAACCAAGCAAAGAAATTATAAAAAAACATGAACAAGGCATTAGAACAAATGCGCTATGCAAAGAATATGGCATGTCGACATCAACTGTGTCTACAATTCTTGCACAGAAAAACAAATTTAAAGAAGTGAAAGTGAGAGTAGATCCCTAATTGCAGAAACTGAGAGGTTACTTCTCATCTGGATTAGGGAAAAACAGATGAAAGGTGATTCAGTTTCAACTGAATTCATTTGTGAAAGAGCCAGGGAGATTTATTAACATTTAAAGGCAGATCAACCTGGTTCTTCAGGAACAGAATTTGAAGATTTTCGGGCCAGCAAAGGCTGGTTCGAAAAATTTAAGAAAAGAAGTGACATTTTCAGTGTTGTTAGGCATGGTGAAGCTGCTAGTGCTGATAAGGAAGGGGCAGCAAAGTTTTTAGTTGAATTTAAAAAACTGATGGAAGAAGAAAATTATCTTCCACAGCAAGTCTTCAATGTGGACGAAACTACGCTGTTCTGGAAAAAGATGCCCAAAAGAACATTCATCACCAGAGATGAAGCCTCTTTACCTGGGCATAAACCCATGAAAGACTGTCTCACTCTATTGCTTGGTGCCAATGCTACAGGGGATTTTCGACTGAAGCCTATGCTTGTCTACCACTCTGAAAACTCCAGGGTGTTCAAGCAACAGAAAGTGGTAAGAACAAAGCTTGGAGTTTATTGGAAGTCCAACCGTAAGGCATGGGTGACAAGACAACTCTTTAATGAATGGGCTGTTGATGTGTTTTGCCCTTCATGGGTGACAAGACAACTCTTTAATGAATGGGCTGTTGATGTGTTTTGCCCTTCTGTCAAGAGCTACCTAACCACCAATAAACTCCCTTTAAGGGCTCTTCTCCTCATGGATAATGCTCCTGGTCATGACCCTGAACTTGCCAGAAATTTGGAGTATCAATTTTACTGTGTGAAAGTGTTGTTTTTGCCTCCAAACACTACATCAATCATACAGCCCATGGACCAAAATGTGATCAGCAACTTCAAGAAGTTGTACATGAAGAAAATGTTTAGGTGTCATCGGGCAACTTCCAATGATCCTGAACTAACACTGAAACAGTTCTGGAAGACACAATTCAACATCCTGGAGGCTGTAAAATTGATTGTGTCATCATGGCAAGAATTCTCCATACATACTAGAACTCTTAAATCACTTCTGTAATGTGATACAGGTAATTAATTTCTATCTCTTGTGCAAAATATATGATGTTTACATTCAAATTATTTGCTGTGTTGCAAGGATTCCAGCAATATAAATTATATTCTCCTAACTTTAATCTGTGATATTATATTAGATAAAAGCTGTAAGCCTAAAACCCTGGCTGGGAGGGGGGGGGGGAGGGAGGAAGGGGAGGTGACAGTGACATGTTTGACAGTTGGCACTGAAGGTCTAGTGAAGTATTTATTTGTTTATTTATGTCCTTTAAATTGAGTTTTAGTTTTTTGCTTATAAAATGTCATAGAAGTGACTGGGGAGAACATAATTTACATTGCTGGAATTCTTATAAGATAGTGATCAATCTGAATATAAACATGCTATAGTTTGCAGTAGACAAAAATCTTAGTAATCATTTAGTACATTATTTTTAGTACATGTACAGTACAGTTTTGCCCTTAGGACAGTATGTGCATGTAAATGAGTAAAACTTAATTAATAAAGTTACATACTGTATATCGAGCCAAAAATATTAGTTGAAAAACTTTATGTAGACACAGCTTGGATGGCTAAATTTTAGAATGACCAATAGTTTTAATTTAAAAATTGCAAAAATATTCAAGGACACAACTTTCTTGATATTTACTCCACTGGAAACGAATGTAACATAGAACCGACTACTGTATTGGCGGATTAACTGATTGGATGATGCGCACAACAAAGCATGTTTCTCCTAAGTCTTTCGTTAATCGACGTTTTGTTAGTTAATGGAACTGAAAATTTGTTAACCGAAATTTCGTTAATTGAACCGTTTGTTACTCGAGGGACCACTGTATAACCCTGTTCGTATCGCCGGGTGATCCTAAGTCAGGGACCCCTGTAACTGTACCAATGTTAACACCATTCTACACTATTGCCTTGACTGTCCCGCCACTGTCAGGGACCTCCAACCACAGGACGAGTCGCTAACCACTACAGTATGTCACCACCTACCTGTCTACTCATCTATAATTCTACCTCGTTTATAGGTCGACCCTGATTTTTTGACCAAGAAATCATTAATTTATGATATGCCTTGTTTATAGGTTGACCCAAGTTTTTGAGGGTAATGGAACAGCAAAACCTTCACTAAAAACACTATACGTCCTATAAACTGAGGTTCGCCGTGTCTGAAACACCGAGCACCGAAGGCAAATTGTTTACCATTATTACGACACTTTACACTGAAACGAACGTAGTTTCAGCAAAAATATTGTATATTTCCATTCAAGTCAATTGGGAGGGAATATTATTGTAATACAACGGGTTTTTTAACTGAAAACCATTCAAAAAGCGATAACAGTAACATCTTTTGAACAACGAAAGAAAGCGAAAGTCGATCGTTTTCGTCATGGTTTTATCCCACTTTCCACTAATACGTACGTCATTTCAGCAAAAATATTACATTTCCGTGAATGAATTATATCAAGCGCAGTATGAATAGAATATCATTGTAATATAACAGTATTTTAACCAAAAACTATTAAAAAAAAGAGTAACATCTCTTGAACATCGGAAGTTTAGGTGAAGTCTTTTGTTTTCGTCATGTATTTTATCCTATTTTACACTGAAATACATCACGTTATTGAATACTTTTACTGTACTGTATTTCATTTTAGATTTTATATGTATTATTTTTGCATTTCCGACTTACAACCTGGATTTGGGTCCCTAACCCCATCGTAAGTCGGGGAGCAGCTGTACTGTATTTTAGAAAACAAAATCAACTCCATTACAGAAGAAGAAAAAATTACTTGTCTACAAATTTCTTGCACTGCTGCACAAAGCCAAGCATACAGGTTACAATCCCACCTAACACTGAGGGCTGGCACTTGGTTGTATCTCTTGTTCATATTACCTGAGTCCTTCTCCTTTTTAACAGCATCTTCATCCTTCTCTTCCTCCTCCACATCTGTCTCGCTACTGTCACTATCAGTGTCTGAAAAAATACGACAAAGACAACATTAGTCAACTTGTGTACTGTATACCTTAAACTTCGGTGAATTTCAAAGTAAAAAATTTAAAGTAACATGTATTGCTTAATTCTGTTCCAACCTTCCTACCCAGTGAAGGAAAACTTTACCAGGCAGGGACTTAACAAGTCTCACATTATTACAACCACAAGAATACCAGTCAGTCAACAGCTGTGCAATAGAGGCAACAATCTGTTTCTATGGAACTGTTACTTCCCTCACAATGGGAAAACTGACTTTTCCTGAGAATTAACAAAGACTTGCAAAAAGAATGTAAAAAAAATCCATGCATCATAATGATCTCTCTCTCTCTCCAAGGGGGAGAGTCAGGAGCATCAGCTACACGGTACAGTCGTGTTGGACATTAGGTTGTAGGTCCGACAACTATTTAAAGACGAACTGAAGGGTGTCCATAAATTATCAGGATCCATTTTAAAACTTTATGACTTCAAGAAATATTATAGATAGAACACGTTGCACATGTGGAAGTCTACTAACACAAGAACAAAATAAACTTATAAGTTGTCTGTCAAGTATAATAAAACCAGCATAAGTTCAATAAGTTTAAAAATGGGTGAGATAATCTATGGATATCCCGCATATTAAGCAACCATGTAAGTAAAGTATCAGGAACATGCATTATGGCATTACTCAAGAATCATATTGTTAACATACTACTCTTGTGATATTAAATGTAACCAAGATGCAGACACACTTGTCTCCAAATAACTGTAACTGGATGATGACCTGTTGCTGCTACTACCTACACATTGGGCACAGTATATTCTCAAGAGGCAATTCACTCATTATAATGTAAATGAACAGAGATACAGATTGGCCTTACCTTGAAAATCTTTAAAAAAAATTCTACTATAGGTAAAAATGCCCACATGGGAAGAATAAATAACTTTACGACTTTAAGATACCCAGTAACTGCCTCCAGTGTTGTGGCTAAGAAGTAGAAGAATGCCTGGGAGTTGTTGCAAGCTGCTAACACGATACGAATATGTGAGAGGGATCGCGAAGAGGACATGCGGTGATAACGCAATAGATGTGTTGGATAAAGGGAGATAATCTACATCATGGGAGACATATACTGTACAATATTAACCTCTAGTGTACGGGGGTCGCCTCCGAGCATTTCTGTAATGAAAGGCTTAAGAGAGAGGAGAGTGGAAGGAGTATAGGCAGTGTAATGGCTCTTGTGTCTGGGTTGTGAGGCATCAACAAAAGTGAAATAATAAAAATGAGAAGATAAAGAGAAGAATCCTAGAACATAAAACTTGATATATACTGGTCCATCACCTTTCTCTGATCCAAGTGAAGTACAGTACACAAAATATAAATCTCATCCATAATGTCTTACATCCTTAATATAGTTAAAGCTGCCTCCCGAAAGTTGGGAATGCTGTACAGATGCCGTAGCTACTTCACTCCTGAGCAGTTGCTTCAAGTATATACAGGATTAATTCGTCCTAGCTTGGAGTACTGCTCTCATATCTGGGGTGGCTCTTCTTCTGTCCAACTGTTAGATAGGGTGGAATCAAAGGCATTTTGTCTTATTAACTCTCCTCCTTTAGTCGTCAATCTCTCTTCCCTTTCTCTTCGCCGCAATGTTGCTTCACTCTCTCTCTTTTACAGGTACTTTAACGGGCACTGTTCGGTGGATTTGGCATCCTGTGTACCGCCGGCAAGAGCGTGGGCTCGTAACACACGTCTTGCCCGCGGTGCCCACCGTTTCTCTGTGGATGTCGGTCACACTAGAATAACCCGTTATAGTAACTCCTTCTTTCCTCACACAGCCAAACTGTGGAATGCTCTGTCTTCTTCTGTGTTTCCATACTTATACAATGCCTCACTTTAAAAAGCTGGTTTTCCGGCATCTTCGTGGTGTAGATTAACACAGTATAACCTTTTTCTTCTCTATACAGTATTTTATTTACCCGACGACTTTTTTTTTTACTGTTATTTACTGTATTTTGTTATTCTATTTCTTATTTTGTCTTAAATTAAGTGATTTTAGATGTATATAAGGATGTAGGCTATGATATACTGGGATTTTAAACATTGTTCTGTAAGTACGGTATGCACATAGCATATGTTCCGACTTACGTACAAATCCGACTTAAGAACATCTCCAAGAACGGAACCCGTTTGTAACCTGGGGACTCCCTGTATACAGTATAGTCTGCATTTACGCGATCAAATGGACCCGTGGAGGTCCACGTAAAACGAGAAACGCGTACACGAAATAACAGAACATATAGGGTTAATTGAAATAGAGACTGGGCCGACCCCCAAACTACACTTTTTCAGACACAATACGTATGTTGTAGTAAAAATAACATCTTAATTTTATGATGGTATGCACACGCAATTAATATTTAAGAGAAGTAGTCGCCAGTTAATGTCCATTCAAATAATGGACTCATCTCCCCCCCCCCCTCTTCCCACGCTCACTGGCTCCTCCCTCTCTGAGAAATGTTTGGGGAAAAACAGTATGCTTACATTTTTAGTAATAAATAATACCTCAGACTAAAGTTAGCATAATATAATTGACAATGCTGGAATCCTTGCAAGACAGGGAATATTTTGAATACAAACGTCATATATTTTGCACAAAAGATAAATTTTTTGCTCTTTCTAATAAATTTTTTAAATTAGAATTAAAATTTGTATGTCTAATGCAAATTTTATGATGTTTATATTTAAAATAATCACAATCTTATAAGAATTCCAGCAATGTAAATTATATTCTGGCCGGGTAATTTGTATGAATTTTATGAGCTAAACAAATATCTTCAGTAGATAAACAAATTACACTTGAGCCAGACATTTTCTGTCAATCAAAATACCCCACCTCCCGCTCCCCCCCCCCTCTTCTCACACTTGCTGGGTCCCTCCCTCCCTCCCAACCCCCCACCTTCCTTCCCTACCAGAGAAATGTTTGGGGTAAAACAGTATGCTTACATTTTTAGTAATAAATAATACCTCAGACTAAAGTTAGGATAATATAATTGACATTGCTGGAATCCTTGCAAGACAGGGAATATTTTGAATATAAACGTCATATATTTTGCACAAAAGATAAAATTTTTGCTCTTTCTAATAAATTTCTTACATTAGATCTAAAATTTGTATGTCTAATGCAAATTTTATGATGTTTATATTTAAAATAATCACAATCTTATACGAATTCCAGCAATGTAAATTATATATTTTATGAGCTAAAAACAAATCTCTTCAGTAAATAAACAAATTATACTTCACCCGGGTAAATGATGAAATTTACCGCGTAATTAAAACATTTCATTCTGGCAAGGTGCTACGTAAGTGACCAAACGCGTAAACAAAAACCGCGTAAATCCAGACTATACTGTACAGTATATTATATTACTGTATTTGATTCCTCATAGGAGTTGGTAACTGGTGGGATTTCAGTTTTGAAGTTGATAACACTGTTCATAGCTTCAGCTGTTGAGGTGGTGGTCAAGGCCTGGTTAATAAAACATTATCAAAAATATTTAATCCCCCCCCCCCCCAAATAACACTTAATCCCAAATGAGCTATTGCGCTATACTGTAGTATATTCTCAATCTCTTGTTTACAGCGGTAACAGCCGATTGGTTTCGCTGACACTGCTCTCCCTAATAATGTTGCCAGCACTTACAACTCTCAAGCACTGTTTTTCACTGCTCAAGAGGGTTGCTGCTTGCCACAGGATTTGTCTTGAGCGTATTTATCAGAACTTATTAAATATTATTGTACTGTAGTGTTTAATGAGTCTCCCTATGCACTGGTATATTCACCGATCAGCTGTCTAAGATAAATCAAGCAATCATGTATCAATTAATTTTAAAATATAAATTAATATTAAAATGGTTTAAAACAATAGTTTAGTAGTGCTGTTAATGTTTTTGCTTTGTAAGTTCCTTGTCGCATCACGTCACCTCATCACCTCACCACTCGGATAGTCAACTCACAATGCATGCAGTGTTACGTTTATTTATTAATGTATTATTTACTTAATTATTACTGTACTGCATGTACATTTATAAAATATTTTTGCTTGTACAGTGATTAAAAATAGATTATTTTATGTGGCAGCCAAGGCAAGGCACAAAAACTAAACAGAAAAAAACGAATAATCGAACAAAAAAAATCATAAATGGTCGGTACTGCAATTGGAATGACCAAAAGCCCCCTATTCTTTAATTAACCCTTAAACCCCGGGTTAGGGTGCTGCTGGCAGTACACCCCCCCCCCACGGGAATTTATCGAGAAAAAAAAAAAAACAACAACTTTAAAAATAAAAATGGCAGGAAAATAGGCGGATGTTCTAGAACGTCACCTGGGGTGTGCTAGTCGGATGTTCTGGAACGTCATCCAGGGCCTAGGGGTTAATGAGGGTATAGTGTACAATGATGTCCCAAGTTGAAGAAGATAATCCAGACAGTTCCCAACTTCCAGAAATATAATTGCAATCACCTGTACATTATGCAACTCTTTGGGAGCAAAAGTAATGCAGCAGTTTATGTAAATAAACAATACACCTCCATATACTCTCTACTGTACCTTTTTATCATTTAATAATTGCTTGCTATGTCATATTGATTTTCCCACAGCCCAGAGTGCATTACAGTTAGTGTGAGGTGTATAACTATTGGGTTGGAATTTACGGGAGTGGTAGTTCCCCAAGGCTGTGACCACCCATGGTTCGGCAACGATCAGGCCCCAATGGTGCCAGAAAATTAGTGGTCGACCTGTATGTGCACTACACTACACTTTATATAAGGATGGTACTAACTATGTAAAATTCTCAAAATAAATAATATGCCATTACAAAAAATAAAAAGAAAAGAAAAGACCTTGCTTGGTACAGTACACTTAAGTTACGTCTCAGTCAACTTATCTCAATAATTGTAAAAATATATTACATATTTTATCAATGGGTTCAATCCCTGGTTCATCCAACCCCACTGACTGCTGGCAACAAAGCACCTCAGTCTCAGATGATGTGTGAAGACATGATAACTACTGTACTGTACTGGCCCAAAATATATGCCTAAAATTTCCTAACTCTATTCATAATAAATAAAACCAGCACTATTTACTGACAATAAATATCTCTTACAAGCTTCATATTATTAGTACATCAACCCATACACATCTTTTTTTTTTTTAATCAAGCAATTCAAAGAGAAAAACTTCAGTCCAAAACATCAGATCAACTCACGGTACTGATTCCTCTGAGGGGGCGTTGGTGAGCGCGCCCTCTCTGGTGGGGGCAAAGGTGGAGCTCATGTATTTGACAACATAACCCAAAACATATTGATAACCCAAAACAGAAAATACCAGTGTGAACATGTGATGTTAGTTCTGCTTCATAATGTACCACTAATAAACCTGCAGTGTACATGTTATAAATGATAGTTCTGCTTTATAATGTACCACTAATAAACCTGCAGTGTACATGTTATAAATGATAGTTCTGCTTTATAATGTACCACTAATAAACCTGCAGTGTACATGTTATAAATGATAGTTCTGCTTTATAATGTACCACTAATAAACCTGCAGTGTACATGATATAAATGATAGTTCTGCTTCATAATGTACCACTAATAAACCTGCAGTGTACATGTTATAAATGATAGTTCTGCTTTATAATGTACCACTAATAAACCTGCAGTGTACATGTTATAAATGATAGTTCTGCTTTATAATGTACCACTAATAAACCTGCAGTGTACATGTTATAAATGATAGTTCTGCTTTATAATGTACCACTAATAAACCTGCAGTGTACATGATATAAATGATAGTTCTGCTTCATAATGTACCACTAATAAACCTGCAGTGTACATGTTATAAATGATAGTTCTGCTTTATAATGTACCACTAATAAACCTGCAGTGTACATGTTATAAATGATAGTTCTGCTTTATAATGTACCACTAATAAACCTGCAGTGTACATGTTATAAATGATAGTTCTGCTTTATAATGTACCACTAATAAACCTGCAGTGTACATGATATAAATGATAGTTCTGCTTCATAATGTACCACTAATAAACCTGCAGTGTACATGTTATAAATGATAGTTCTGCTTCATAATGTACCACTAATAAACCTGCAGTGTACATGTTATAAATGATAGTTCTGCTTCATAATGTACCACTAATAAACCTGCAGTGTACATGTTATAAATGATAGTTCTGCTTCATAATGTACCACTAATAAACCTGCAGTGTACATGTTATAAATGATAGTTCTGCTTCATAATGTACCACTAATAAACCTGCAGTGTACATGTTATAAATGATAGTTCTGCTTCATAATGTACCACTAATAAACCTGCAGTGTACATGTTATAAATGATAGTTCTGCTTCATAATGTACCACTAATAAACCTGCAGTGTACATGTTATAAATGATAGTTCTGCTTTATAATGTACCACTAATAAACCTGCAGTGTACATGTTATAAATGTTAGCTTGGATTTATAGTCGTCTGTACTTATACCTGATATGGTGGTTGGCTCATTTTGTATGATGTGGGAACTCTGTGGAATGCATATCCAGCAACCTTAGTCTGGCTACTATCGTGATGTTCTTTATGGCCATTCCATTAGTTTTAATATGAGGCAAACAAACACACTTACCACGTATCACAAAATGTTACCAGGTATACGTGCAGGCAACTGCTTAAACTCACTTACAAAAAGAAACAAACCTTAACCATTCTTATGTCATATGAAATTTCCTGCTGTACAATAAATAGCTAAACATGGCATTTATCACAATAATTTCTTACATCAGAATTTACTATATGTTTTTCAATCTTAAGTTAGCAGTGCAAGAAGCAAAAGCCTCACTCAGTGCACCTCTAGTGTCAAATAAGCCCACTCGTGTGGTCACTCCGGCACACCAGTTGCTATACAGTATATTCACTGTTGCTTCTCCCCAGTTCTCTTTCTCTTATCCATCCGAGTTCGTTCATCTAAATACAGGGAATTCTATATACAGCACAGTATATGGAACCAAATGGGGTAAGGTTAGGGATAGTTGGGATTAGGAAATAAGAGAAAAAAAATTATTTATAAAGTATGTTAGGGTTGCCTAAGGTTAGGGTTGGGAAATAAGAGAACTTTAAAAAGGGTAACTAAACAATTATCTTCTTTAATAATCCTAAGTAAACCCAAGCTTATCATAATTGGTTCCACTACTAAGGAACACCCTCTGTAAATGACAACCTCATACTCATCACAAATATTTTTATTACTGGGTAAAGTGAGTGGATGGAGAGCAGTGGCAGAGTGAATGCAGTATCCTAAGGGTCACTGGGTCACCTGCAGTCCACCCAGCTGTAAATGGGTATAAAACTTTATAGCTGAGGAAGAGAAAGTAGCTGAGTGTAGAACCAACACAATGTATACTGAAGACTTAGTCCTGTACTCAGTGTGCTATAAACACACTGTTCCTAACATACTACCACACCTATGGGAAACCTACCTGCCTAAGTGACTGACCTGATCCCACTCTTAAGGTAAACACATCAACATTCTTACTGGTAAATTTTTGTAAGATTACCAGTGATGCCATCACAGTACATGCAGGTGTGAAGGTTAACCAGTGTGAACCAAGATACGGTAAGTACTTTTGGGAGGACTAGGGTGGTGTTGAATAGGTCTAACTTGCCCTGAATAACAACATCACACTCAGGTTTATAAATTAACTTGAACCATGTGCTAATTACCCCAGTGCACATAACATGAAAGTGTGATGACCTGTCATATAATGTGGAGTTCATTTGGTTATTTATAATTTTTGCTGTAGAGATGTGTAGTGGAACAGTGTGTTTGGTGTCAGTCTTTATGACAAGGAATAAATATCCTAAGTGGTCATGTGTGAATTTGTAAGAGGTTGTCATAGCCCGTGGCAGCATTGACAGCACTACACAATGGCTCACCTGAATCTGACTCACTATCAGAGGAGTCACTTCCACCAGACTCCACCTGATTTACTGTCCTTACTTCTTCTTTCTTTTTTTTCTTTTTTCCCTCTTCATCTGATCTTCTTTCTTTAGAGCCTTTTCGAACTGGGGTTTCCAGATTTTCTTCATATTCTCCTTCTTCCTCCTCATCACTTACAATTGTCACTTCTTCAGCTTCTTCTGCAGGAGAGTGAGAGAAAAGATAAACAAAAATAAAGTACATCATATAATAAAAAATCCGGGAAACGCATGGAGTAAATAACAACCTGTGCATTGATCCTCAGCCAGATCACTTTCATCCATCTCACACCTCCCCCCCACCCTCTTCTCCCTCTCTCCAGGGCATCCCACCAATTTCCATTTCATAGAAGGTTGCCTGTGTCCACAGCTCCTTCCTTATACCCCCACCATGTACTGATGCTCCACTATACCCCCACCATGTACTGATGCTCCACTATATCCCCACCATGTACTGATGCTCCACTATACCCCCACCATGTACTGATGCTCCACTATATCCCCACCATGTACTGATGCTCCACTATACTCCCACCATGTACTGATGCGTATAGGGTGTTTGATTATTTGTTCCAAATCATTAAGTAGGGAAAAAGAGAGTGCCTCAGCTCCATCTGGGTCATCCACTCTCTGTGATGTACACTGAAATCCCCTCGGTAGAGGATCTCTGTGTTGGGGTGTGTGGATAGCAACGACTCATGGCAAGAATGAGATAGTCAGAGTTCCAAATAGTTGGTAGATTTGGGAAAACAGTATAGGAAACAAAGAAAAATACAGTGGTCCCTCGGTTAACGAACGCCTAGGTTAACGAAATTTCGGTGAACGAGTTACCTTCCATAAGAATCTTCATTTCGGTAAACAAAAGAAAATTTGGGTCACGAAATTCTTACAAAAATGTTTTGACATGCTTTGGCTTGCTCACCAGCTGGAAGATTAGTCTGCCAATACAGAAATCGGTTCTAGGCTTACATTCGTTTCCATTGGAGTAAATATCAAGAAGGTTGTACTATTCAATAATTTTCCAAGTTTTATATTAAATTTTGTAGTCATTTTAACACTTATTTAAAATAATTGCAGTACAGGGAACTAGTTTTTGGTATGCCCATCAGCCACTTCACTCACCCACCAAGGCCTCAGTTTGTATCTCTGTTCAATGGAGGAAACATCTTGCTTGTGGGTCTCTTGAACACAGAGTATTTTTACGTTTTTACAGTACAATTATTGGTCATTCTGAAATTTATTTAACATATTGACAATATATAGTGCAGTGCAGTGTTGATTTAAAGAAAATAATCTTGAATTACACCAAGTCAACTTAAAATTTTATGGGTGAAATGGCAGCATCAAGCATGGGATGATTTCTCTTCCACCCCACTTCCTTCTCTTCTCCCTTCTCCTCCATCCCCACTTCTAATTCCCACCATCACCATCAACCAGGAGCTTTCTATATACACACCTCAAAGAAAGAGTACTAAACTGCAATTTTTTTTACTTTGCATGTAATTTTTGGTGAGCTGGAACCAATTACCCAAAATCCCATTGAAACAATGGTTTCGGTTAACGAACAACCTTCTGGAACGAATTGTGTTCGTTAACCGAGGGACCACTGTAGTCATAGGTGGAAGAGATATTTTGAGCCAGATGACATCATAAATGGAAGATTCAAGATCCATGAGTCGAGCTGTGTTGTAGTATGAGCACTACACTGAAAATACCCCAACAAAGGGTAATACAATAATGAATGTAATGGAATATAAGACTGACTCACCCGTAGCATAATGGTCACCGTGATGTTTTCTCTTCTTCATAACGGGCAGGTCACCAGGAGAGTGAGGACGAGAGTGTCTGTGTGAGACAACATCCCCACGATGACGCACCACCTGTTGTTCTTCCCGTCTCTCTTCTTCTCGTCTCTCTTCTTCCCGTCTCTGCCTTCTCATTTCAGCTTCCCGCTGTGACAACTCCTTTTGTTTATCTGGAGACAGTATTAATCTCTCAGGTAGTAAAATAAAAGACACATCCTAAAGAAAATCAGCATAAAAAATTAATTCATAACAAAGCAAAATTAGTAAACGACCTTCAAATACCACTCTACAACCAGCATGGATTGTGAGCAACTCAAATACAAGTACGTACAGTACAGTATAAATGTTCAAGTTAGACCAAGGTTCCTTGTCTTACGCAACTGGGCCCAGATTCACTAATATGACTGTAACTTTGATCGTGTCTCTCCCCTTATCTCGACAGGCTACGGTGACCGTGATATATTTGTACAGCGGTAGCGCTCGTATCTCTCACCAATGCAGTATGTCAAAGGATCGAGCCTCGGCTTGGACACATGTGAGAAAGGTGTTATCCAGTATGACACTCATTACCAAACATCACAGGCTTCCCGGTCCATGGTTTCCTCCTGTACTAACACTGGATAGACCAACCGCCCAAATGGCTAGTAAGCTGATAAGTGGCAAACATGATAAAATAACAGACAATTCATTAAAGGTTCGTATGGCTACCGCAATTAAGTTTAGTACAGTAAGCTACCGCCAGAGGGTGTTGTGGTGTACTCAGGCCCCTCCTTTAGGGGGGGTGGGGGGGCGAACAGAGGCGACCAACCGGGGCCCCGCGCGTGTGGGGGCCCCGCGGGGCCCAGCACTAGACCCAGTGACCTCGGACACATTGCCTGTTGACTGGTTAATCTGACCTGATGGCTTACGCCACCATCGCAACCGTGACCTTACCATCCATAGCGACAGTCCCATGGGGGTTGGTGATGGGTGGGTTCCTCTGACCGCATAATCGGACTCCATATATGTATTTTCTGGGGCCCGGCAGTGGCTGAGTTGCCCCGGGCCCCGCACCCTCCTAGGGACGGCCCTGGGTGTACTGTAATCGTTTTGTTTCCTCGCTAGAACATTCACTGCACCCTGAACAAACACTGCGAAGGATATTAACCAATCACAAGTTACCCAGGCCAGAAGAGGATGAATAAAGTCACAGGCGATAATAACAATGAGATTTTCGTTAGTAATAATAATATTAATAATAACAAAATAATAAAAATATTAGAAATCTCTGCTAGCCGGAACAATTGGTGCAGAGCACTACCGAGAATGAGAGATTTCCAGCTAACGAGATGACTCTCTTAAAGCTGGAAAAAATCCCCCATTCTCAGAATTTTCCGGGTAACGGAAAAATTTTCTCAGAAGTTCCAGAAATTGTGCATAGCATCATCTTTTGAACTCGGAAAAATATCCCCCATCCCTGGAATTTTCCGGGTACCGGAAATTTTTTTTTTTTAATTTTCTATAAAATGTGCCCCTCAACATGTTTTCCCTTGCAGAGGGAACAAGATGCTAGCCCTCAGCTTTCCACTTCAAGAAAGAGAGAGGATGTTCACGGTGGAGAATCTGTCAGTCCAGAGGTTCCTGACATTTTCATGGAAGGTGACTCACCTTCCAAGAAGCAGTAAAATGCTTCTCCTCCACCTCCACTTCCTTCTCTTCTCCCTTCTCCTCCTGCAACTCCCACTTCAAATTCACATCAGCATCATCATCCAGGAGACTTCTACATACACATCTCAAAGTAAGTGTACCTTTCTACCTTTTTCTTTAATTTAGGCAATTTTCGGTGAGCTGGAGCCAATTATCCAAAAATCCATTGAAACAATGGTTTCAGTTAACGAGTTTTTCGGTTAACGAGCAACGTTCTAGAACGGATTGTGCTCGTTAACCGAGGGACCACTGTACATGTACACTCCAGCTTTGCACTAAGGTCATTTATTTCTTTTACCTTTCTTTTAGTATGGTGTGTGAATGTAAATGGATGAAAATAAATGAAGAAATGTATGTAATCTACCCAAAAATACAGTTGAAAAACTTTATATTATAAAATATACACTAATGTACTACAATTTTTATCTCTTGAGCAAAATATATGACGTTTATATTCAAATTAATCTCTGTCTTGCAAGGATTTCAGCAATGCAAATTATATTCTCGTATAGTCTGAGAAATTATATGAAAAACATAAGGCCTAAAACCCCACACGTTGGGGGGGGGGGAGGTGAGGCGATATGATTTGACAGTTGGCGCTGAAGACCTGCGTGTTTATTTATCATTACTTAAGACTGACAAAGCTATTCTCATAATTTGCCACCCAAACGACCTGGGTGAATATAACTTACATTGCTGGGATTCTTGTAAGATAGTGATTTATTTGAATACCTGTATAAACAATCTATATTTGCAATAGACATAACAAATTTAGTACTGTAATCATTTAGTACATGTACAGTACAGGTTTGCTCTTAGGTTCATTGTTAACTGAGGGATCACTGTATTGCAGTGTACTTGTACTGTACAATATTGACTAAATTCACTAGATAACGTACACAACTAATGGTTGGTAAAACTTGTCAAGTAAGTGAGTGTCAACTCTGTTAGTATGAGTGGCACGTGTGAGTGCTTGTGTCCCCCATTACAGGAGTCCGTTTTCTCTCGCTTCAGGACGCCTGAGTCCCCCGTTTTCTTTCTTAATCTTAGAGTGCATCAGAGACTTTGTTATTCCTTAGTAATGACACAGAATTTGAAATTGCAACCCCAATTGCAACTGGGGTTGCAATTGTTGAGGCAACTAGATATGTCTGATTACAGCAAATGTGTTATTGTCAATTTGTAGGTGAAAAATTTTATCCCCAATAGATGTAGGTTAACATTACACCTGGAGGCAAATGCTTACTAAAGCCTAAGGAATGATATTCCTTTAACACATAATATCTGGCCAGTATGGGAAGGATCATCGTGTCTCCGTCAGGGGGTCGTGGAGTGGTGGTTCAGCAGGCGTCACGTGTATTTTTTTTGGGGGGCGCCACGGACGTATATGCGATCGGACGTTAACCGGCGCATGACTGTATAGTATTACACCACCATTACCGAGATCCTTCATGTTGGGTTGGCTAGATGGCTACAAAAGAAATTCTGTAAGTTTGATCTTAGTATCAGCCCAGCTGGAGCCGGCGCCATATAGTAACTTGACCAATTCAACTTTAATAACTAAGCACAGAGTTGACTTGAGGGTAGACTCGCATTTTTTCTACTTTACATATTGATGTAGTGTTTCTTATGACGGTATTTGTGAGAGGATTTCCCAATTAATATTAATTTGTATGCATTTTAATAATAATAATAATAATAATAATTAACGGTTTATTGAAAGAGCATGGCAGCCGGAAGGCTGAAAATATACAGTTACATAATTGGGGAATGGATCACTTGATTGACAAATAACATAAGTGATACAAATACAGTAAGTCCTCGCTTAACGTCGTCCTGCTTAACGTTGTTTCGGTACTATGTCCTGAACTTTAGAGACCAAAAATTCATTTAACGTCCCAGCGATCCGATACTACGTCATTTTGCGTCATCACGGACTACTTTCAATGGCGCATCACCCTCTCTTGTCTGGCTGTACCACGCTCTCTCGGCTCAGTGCACTCCCCTCACTAGCGGAACATCACAGTGTCCCCAAGCGACGCCAAGCCAGTCTGTGTTACGACTTCACACCATTCGTGTGTGCCTTAGTGCTTATGATCTAAAACTGTACTCTAACCATTCGAAATGGTTTCCAAGCGCCCATCAAGTGCTACTGATGCTGGTGTAGTGAAGAGGCAACGTAAGACCATTACCCTTGCTACGAAAATGGATGTATTAACCCGATTTGAAAAAGGGGAACATGCTGTGGACGTAGCCACTGTGCTTGGTCTAGCCCCCACAACGGTGAGTACTATCCGGACCAACGCTGACAAGATTCAGGTTAGTGCTGGAAGTGGTTCTTCTCTGAGTGCTACTAAGACGACTTGTACTAGAAGCACTGTGACAGAGAAGGTGGAAAAGATGCTGGCAATGTGGACGGAGGACCAGAATCAACGCAATGCCCCTGTGAGCCTTATGGTTATCCAGCATAAGTCCAGATCCTTGTCTGACGACTTAAAGGCAGAAGAGGGTGAAGGATCGAAGCAAGAGACCTTTACGGCCAGCTGAGGATGGTTTCAACAATTTAAGCATCGTTATAACTTCCACAACACAAAGATGACTGGTGAAAATGTCAGTTAAGATGCGGTTGCTGCCGAGACATTCCTGCCAGAATTCAAACGGATTATCCAGCAATGAGGCTACTCACCGAAGCAAGTCTTCAATGTGGATGAGACTGGTCTCTTTTGGAAGAGGATACCTGAGAGGACCTATATCTCCAAGGAGGAGAAAAGAGCGCCAGGTTTTAAAGCGGCAAAAGACCGCTTGACGCTGCTGCTTGGCGCGAACGCTGCCGGTGACTTCAAGCTGAAGCCTATGCTGATTTCTCGCGCTGCCAACCCATGGGCCCTGAAAGGTTACTCTAAGGATCACCTTCCTGTCATCTACAAGGCAAATAAGAAGACATGCATAACTGGCACCATATCTAGCCAGTGGTTGAATGTGTACGCCGTCCCTGCACTGAAGGAATACTATGCCAAGGAAGAACCTTAACTTCAAAATTCTTCTGATCCTTGACAATGCTCCAGCTCATACTCCCCATCTCGACGACTTGCATGACTGTGTAAAAGTTGTATTCCTGCCTCCCAACAAGACAGCACTGATGCAGCCTATGGACCAAGGTGTCATCGCCGCATTCAAGAAGTATTATTTACACCGTACCATGGCCCAGCTGCTCAAGGATACACACAATGAGAAAATAAACCAACGATCCAAGAATATTGGCGGGGCTTCAACATTCTTCATGCAATGGACAACATTGGCAAGGCATGGGAAGAGGTTCCAGAAATTTGCCTGAATGGTGTGTGGCATAAGCTGTGGCCCGAATGCGTCAACAGTTTTACGGGATTCATGGACTTAGTCCCAGCTGTGAATAGGGATATCCTCAGCTTGGCTAGACAGGCAGGCTTTGATGAGCTGGAATCAGAGGATATTGAGAACATTCTGGTATCCCATACAGAAGAGCTCACCAACCAAGATCTGCAACAATTAACAGAACACAGTCCCGTTGAAGACGACGACGATGAAGAACCTCAACAAACGCTAACTTCCAAGAGGTTGGCAGAATCGTTGAACATGTTCCAGTAAGCAATGTAAATCTTTCTAGATGATGACCCAAACAGAGAACGTAGCTGAAAGAGGTTCAAAGTAGCATCGAGGACAGTCTTGGTTGTTACACCGAGATCTATAAGGAGAAGAATATGAGTAGCACCAAGCAGTCAACACTGGATTAATTTTTTCGTCGCGGGACGGCAGAAGGAGCTTCTTCACAACAGCCGGCACCGAGGAGGAGCAAACAACAATGGAGGAGGAGACAGCAGAGGCAGAGGAACCCCAATCAAAGCAGGAGGAGGAGGAGGCAGCCACAGAGTCTCAGTGACTCACCACCCTTCTCCGCTCCCGCCATCCTCCTCCTTCGCTCCACTACCCACCACACACTCGCTCTACCACCTCTGCCCATCGGTGAGTACCAATACAAACTTAGTACTACTGTAGTTCTATAAACTGTATGTATACTATTTTCTATAGAAATGGCAATGATTTTCTGTATATGTAAAGTTTTTCATGGGGCAAAGGGAGGCTGGGGAATGTAACTCCTGTATTTTATCTATTTCTTATGGGGAAAATTGATCCGCTTAACGTTGTTTCGCATAATGTCGCATTTTCAGGAACGTAACCCTGACGTTAAGCGAGGACGCTCTGTATGATATGTAATAACTTTGTGGGGAGAAGGTTATACTACAGGGCATTTCAACAAAGTGATAGTACATAAAGGTAAGATTGGCTGGGAGTGAATACATACACTGGTTGACTACGATTTGTTGATTATTTTCATAATGGTTGGGACTACCGTAGGCTGTTCATATAGATAGTGTGTGTGTGTGTGTGTGTGTGTGTGTGTGTGTGTGTGTGTGTGTGTACACACGTACACTACAGGTAAAAGTAATAATTTTCCTTTGGGCAAACACGTAAAGGGAATAAACATTTCTTTGTACACAAGTAAAATTACCCCCGGTCAGCAAATGTTATTAACGGTTTGGCAATTCGCAGCCACTTTGAGTACGTAACCCCCGTGAATTTGAAGGGCATGCTTTACAGTATTTGTAGCCCTATTTAGCAATCATTTATAATCTTTTTCCATTACAAAACAATCACTGTACAAAGGCCAAATTTGGTTAGTCATCCAGACTCATCCTGCATGCTTAAAGGCAAAAACTAAGGTCTACTTTTACATTTGTAAGTTTTAAAGAATTCAATTAAGTACAGAAAAAAAAAAAAAAAAAAAGAGAGAGAGATATTATATATACAGTATACAGTGGTCCCTCGGTTAACGAACACAATTCGTTCCAGAAGGTCGTTCGTTAACCGTAAATTTTGTTAACCAAATCCACTGTTTCAATGGAATATTGGGTAATTGGTTCCAGCTCACCAAAAAAATGCACTAAAGTACACTTACTTTGAGGTGTGTGTGTAGAAGGTTCCTGGTTGATGATGATGATGGGAATTAGAAGTGGGGTGCAGGAGAAGGGAGAAGAGAAGGAAGTGGGGATGGAGGAGAAATCACCTTTCAGGGGACCCATGCTTGATGCCGTCATTTCACCAATAAAATTTTAAGCTCACTAGGTGTAATTCAGAATTACCAATAATTGTAGTGTAAAAACGTAAAAATACTCTGTGTTCAAGAGACCCACAAGCAAGATGTTTCCTCCACTGAACAGAGACACAAACAGACGCCTTGATGGGCGAGTGAAGTGGCTGATGGGCGCACCAAAAACTAGTTTCCTGTACTGCAATTATGTTAAATAAGTGTTAAAATTACTAAAAAATTTAATATAAAACTTGGGAAAAATATTGAATAGCGCAACCTTCTTGATATTTACTCCAATGGAAACGAATGTAAGCCTAGAACAGATTACTGTATTGGCGGACTAACCTACTAGCGGATGAGCAAGCCAAAACATTTTGATATGTTTTCATAAGAATTTCATTAATCGAATTTTTTTCATTAACCCAATTGAAAATTCTTATGGAAAGTAATTCGTTCACCGAAGCGTTCATTAACTTAGGGATCACTGTATTTCAAATGTTTCACTTTCATTCCCATTTACTCTTATTGTTGCTCTGCTGTTCTCATACAATGCTTTTAGTGTATTTAATAGCCTTCCTCCCACCCCATACACTTGTACTGCTACCCACAATGCTTTTAGTGTATTTAATAGCCTTCCTCCCACCCCATACACTTGTACTGCTACCCACAATGCTTTTCTGTTCACCCTATCATATGCCTTTTCTAAAACTCCTAAATTCATTTAAATCATCTGTAAGTACTAAAAAAAAATATATACCCCTGTATATAATAAAACCAAAAAAAGCAGATTAAAAAAAAATGTTTGGTTTAAACCAATGGTTTAAATCGGCCAACCCTGAACTTGACTATTCATAAAGTGCTTCTGTGTGTTCTAATAGCGTACATAAAAAGCAATAGCAAGTATTTTGTTATGCTTTGCCATACAGTACTACATGAAACTTACCGGCAACAAGGAATCTGTCTCTCCTTCTGTCACGCTCGGCTCTTTCTCTTGGTGACAACTGGACTTCTCGTCTATGGTGAGGGTATGGAGCGTATTCATTTTCCCCCATTCCTCCGCCCATACCGCCTCGACCTTGATGCTCACGGTGGTACTCCATACTATCGTACTGCTCCCGTTCGTCTACGTAATATTCTTCACGTTCGCGGCCTCTTCGTCGCTCCTGAAATAATTGATGATCAAGGTCTTTGATGAAGTACCGGTATACCTCGCGAATTCGTGCTACCTGATATCCTACTGTAGCCAAATTTACAAAAACCAGAGAATTGCAAAATAAGCATTAAAAACATATGATAATTTGCTAAAAATTAAATCTAATTGTAAAACATAAATCTTTATTGTTTGAAACTCACAAACATAGTTTTCTTTGTTTTTGAGTAAAAATTTGATCATAAAAATGCAAAATGTACTCAGCTATATACGGTAATTTTGATTAAATTTCCAAAAAATATATAAATTTCTCAAACAAGCACAGACAAGCGATAACACACTACAGTACAGGTATTTGCGGGAAGGCTCATAAAAATACTGTACATGGATCTGAGGAAAAATGGACTTCTGAGACACAAATTTTTATTTCTTTTTATTCTCAAGTCTTTGACTTTGTAGAGCTTTGAGTGCTAGTGGTTTTTTTTTAAGGAAGTAGTGCCTTTGAGAAACAAAAGACTGGCTATTATTATTTATTACATGAAAGTTGCCCATGACATGAACAACACTTACTTTTAATAATTGCAGTAATTTTCACATAATCTGTGCTCGGGTAATCTATGAGCCACTGATTTGTATTATTACTACAAAATGTACAAACCCTGTAAAACTTATCCCTTCTGTTACATGACACCATAAAGTGAACAATGGAAAATAACTAAAATATTCTGTAAAGCACATTAAAGTATTTTATACAAGGAAATTATACCATCTATTGGTAAAAAGGTATTTAAACCCCTGCATCAAATTGTCAACCATAAGATGTTTGTTTTATCAGAACCATATCTATACCTGTATGCAAGCTTAGGCAGTCCCAGGTAACATTCCTGGATCCTGTCCCAAAGTCACAACAGCAGTGTTAATTCCATAGGTCAAGTTTTGTTAACACTTAAACCCAGGATGACATTACTTAACGTCCTCCTAGGTGACCCCGGGTGATGTTCCTCAATGTTCTTAATTTTCGTGGGAAATTTTTTATGTTCAGGCGGGAAGAAAAACTTTATATGGGATATTTGTGTAATTGGCAATTCAACCTGCATGTATATGACAGTTACCCACCAGATATTGTGAAGGATACACATCCTTAGACCTCCCTTATGACCCACCTCATTCCTCCACACCCAAGTGCAAGCTAAGGCATTTGCTTGACAGAAGTACTGTTCATCAAGAGTTACTCGATTTGAGTGGCATTGATATAGTATCAGGTGATAAAAAAATTTATGGGGAGGAAACAGAACCCAGATGATGATGAGGTTGTTGAGGTGGTGGGGACAGTGTTAGGCCTACAGACTGGTGTTCCCTCCCTTCCCTACCCCGCCAGCTACTGTGAACCATGGCACAAAGAAATAGTGACTTGGTGCAAGGAGTGTGGAGTTGCCTTATGAATTCCATGTTACAAAGACATCCTCAAGAAGTTCTAAATTCAGTAGAAGTACATTTAAATAGTGTACAGGGGGTCCCCGGGTTACGTACGTCCAACTTACGAACATCCGCCGATATGAAAGCGGTCCCATAGAATGAAATTTACAGGGCACTTAACGGAGATTAGCCTACCCGGGCACAGTAGACAACACATTATGCTTCCAATATCTTCCCAGGCAATAGTACGTCCTTGTTTGATAGTTGTCTACTACCTTTACCTGATGGCTTATTTTTTACTTTCATTTCCTGTAGTTTGTCATTCTATTTCTTCTTTTCTCTTCAATTAAGTGATTTTAGATGTATATAAGGACTTAGGCTATAATATAATGGGATTTTACACATTGTTTTGTAAGTACAGCAAGCATATAGGGTATGTGTTTCGACTTAGGAGCGTCCGTAAGAACGGAACTGCCTGTATATATTTGAAAATAGGTATAAGTTTTGAGTTTCCAATTATATTCAAAATGTTCAGTATTTTATAGTTTTGGGGGAGGAAAATAGAAATATCTTGTGTTTTGTAATAGCTACAAGATACTGTAGAAATATGATATAAAAGTGCCTTCAAGTAAGAGCTGTGTGTTGCATGTGCGTGTCAACATCACTGCTCACTCAGTGTGGGCTGTGCACAGTAATTTCAAACAAGACGCCTTTCATCACTCCACACTGCTCATCAACACTCCAACATGCCACTGTAAAAGTTGGATGTAAGTATTGTACAGTGGGGTATGCTATAACGAATCTAATTGGTTCTAGAACCTTGTTCGTTATAGCATTCGTTCGTTATAGGATTAATCTGTTCCAGGCCCCCAAATACAACCACTTAACACTGAAAAATATAATATATAATTGTAAACATTGTAAAAAAGTGCATAAATATGCATCTAAACCCCTGAAATAAAGACTATCATTAATACTTGTAATAAAAAAACAATAAATTAGTAAAAAAAATAAAAATAAATAAAAAATAAATAAATAAATAAATAATGTTCGTTGTAGGCGTTTCGTTCGTTATAGCATTCTCAATTTTATAGGTAAAACCGTTCGTTATAGGAATATTCGTAGTAGAACCCATTCGTTATAGCATACCCCACTGTACATTCTTCAGGTACTTTACTTATTTTCATTACCCCACTTATAAGGCGATAATGGATTAAAAAAAACGTTTTTTTACCGAAATATGTCTAGGGGAGGGGGGGGGGAGGGGTCAGCAGGTCTTACGACATCCAGAATCTAAGGATCAAAATACAACCCTACTTATTCAAAAAACCCAAAACAAAAACAATATTCCCTATACAGGTACTCCCGACTTACTACCTACTCGACTTACGTCCACCCGCACTAACGACCTGCCTCAGTCGTACCAAAATTTGGTCAAATTATGTATTTTTGAGTCCCAAAGTCAGTACACGGACAAACTTTTCATCTGTAATTCACTTTAAAATGGCTGGCAAGCTTAAAAGTGAGTGTTTTGTGGTGCCGAGAAGAAAACGAGACACCCATTTTAGATTTTCTATGTGTTATTTAAGCATTTCCGACTTACGACCTGGATGTCGGTCCCTAACCCAGTCGTAAGTCGGGGGAGTACCTGTATAAAAAAAAAAATGTAAATACAGTGATCCCTCGATTAACGAACCCAATTAGTTCCACAGAGTAGGTCGTTAACCAAAAATTTCGTTAACTGAATCTATTATTTCAATGGCATATTGGGTAATTGGTTCCAACTCACAGAAAAAGTATACTGTACATACAAAGTACTGTATACAGGTAGTAGAATTAAAAAAACATTAAATATAAACTAAATACAGTACTGTACTGTACAGTAAAATGTACAATAATAAATAAAAAATAATAGAATACTGTACTGTATTTTAACTTACTTTGAGGTGTGCATGTTGTATTCCTGGCAGCTTTGTTTACATATCAAACAGCTGATTGTAGAGGCAGTCGATGATGACATGCCATATTCTTTACAGAGTGCATTGGTTCTAAAGCCTTCTTCATGATTCATAGTAATTTCTGCACTGTATATTATCAATATGAGAACTTAATTTCAGAATGACCAATAGTTTTAATGTAAAAAAGCAAAAATATTCACGAGACCAACAAACTCGATGTTCAATCCACTGTAAACAAAGTTAAACTGAGAAGCGTTGGTGGGTGATTCGATTAGTTGATGGGCACACAAAAACTGTTCCCTGTACTGTATACATTATCCATATGTGAACTAAATTTCAAAATGACCAATAATTTCAATATAAAAAAAATGCAAAAATATTCAAGCACAACTTTCTTGATATTTACTCCACTGGAAATGAATGTAAACATAGAACCAATTATTGTATTGGCGCACAACATACAAGTGACCAAACACTTCCTAATTTCTTTGAATTCAACTTTCAACTTGGCCTACAGGTTAGTCACAACTCACCCTGTCTCTGTCTGCCATTTTCCGACCCTTTTCAATAACCTTGCTGCGCAGGTCAATAACCGGTCTCTCGGGCTTGTTACCTCTTTCGTGGCGCTTCCCGTGTCGTCGAGCTTCCCGAACTTCGCGATTTTCCCGCCTCTCCACTTCACTCCGCTCCCTGTGTATGATGATAGTTGCAGCTATATATTTACCTGTACAGTAAAGTACACACAAAACACTAAATTTTGCATGAAACAACTGAAAATAATACATCAGGGATATACTGGTTTTAAGCCTTAATAATAAAATAAACATTTCAATTAACATGTAAGTGTAGCTGTGATCTATTTATGACAAGACAAAAGGACAACATGAAGATAAGCCCCCCACCGTACTTCACCCAAGGATCATATATACCTTTCTTACCTGTGTCTTCTGTGATCGTGATTCCTGTGGTCTCGATTACGATGACGCTCTTTATGGCGTTCAGCCTTGTGGCGATGACGATCTCGTTTGTCACGCTTTTCACGTTTCTCCCGGCGTTGTACCACAGCTTGGGGAGGTTTAATGTCGAGACTGTCGCCTTGGTCGCCGTCATATGAGGACATACTGGAAGAGAATAAGGTTAAATTACTTGAAATCTGAGGAATTTTCGCAATACATCATTTAGAAGAAGGGAGTAATGAGATGATGATGATGGACAAGTTATTACAGAAAAAAGAGTACTGAATTAAAAAAATGCAAGCTTGCAAATTGAAATTCTTCTTCTTGATTTGCGATTTTCTTCAGGTAAAAGAGAAAGGTAAAGGTAAGATTTAATGACAAGGTCTGGGTTATCCAGATAACTGATGAAAAATCTCTATACAAGAAAACTTATTTATATATCGCAAAACTAGAGGTTTCTGTGGTTGGTCAAGTCAGAATCTATTAGGTTCTAGCAAATGTTGCCTCTTTTAAAATACTTATTATAATGATAAGAATATCTGCGGAAAAAATGAAGGAAATCGAGCAACTACTGATAAATATTTGTTTAATGGCTGTGGCTTCTTTTTGTTTACTTAAGTGAGTGAGCACCTGTTGCCCCTACACTTTTGCTCAAATTGTATGTGTTCGTACGTTCGCTTACCTCTGCTTACGTCCCGTGCATGTGCTGGGGGGTGGCCGCCGGCCAGCTGCCAATCAAATCGGGGGTGACCGCAGCCAATCAAATCCAATAAAAAATCTCAACTTTTGATTCAACCAATTAGCGTTCAATATTTGGCGTGGGTGCTAAGATGCGGGACGTTTTTAATCAGTTGCAACAAGGAGCCATAACGTGCTGGGTGCAATTTCGATTACTGGGAGTTTGTATTATTTCTGGTCCCAGACACAGACTCTGACCCTGACTCGGAATAAGAATACTCTAACAGCTATTTATATTCTCGTGGAGGCTGACCACGCGGCTCGAGGGTAATTACCTAGTGTTTGGGGGTCCAGCTAGATTGTTAGGTAATGTTTAGTTTGGTTATGTGATATAAGGGTCAATTCATAGTATCACACCGGTCTTTATTTTTTTTCTACATATTTTGATGAGTTTCGAATAAATTTGATATTCATTTCCACCAGAAATCACGTGTTTTTTTAGATACACCCCCACCCAACAATCATAACAGAAAAAGTTGGATTTTTTTTAATAAATAACATAAATTATATTACCAACCAACCAAGAAAACCTAACCTAACCTAACCCTCGTCGGAGGACTGGAGCAATGCGTGAGCAGGGAGTCAGACCACCTTTGCCATAAGTAAACATATCATGGCGACACTTGTGACGGAGCGAAAGTCTTGAAATTAATATCTTGGTTATCCTTAATTTCCGGTGAAAATATCATGGAGGAAAAATGTCTTAGAAATGTGTAAACATTACGAGATACATATTTTTAAAACGGAAATAAAGACAGGTGTAATTCTATAAATTCACTGGTATAAGTTAGCAAGCATTGAGTACCGGGAATTCAGAACACACAATCGATAGAACTATTATGGGTATTATTGCATTTTCACACCGCACATCCCTACCACTAATCTATTATCATATTCGAATAAGACGTCTAATTATAAGATAATTTTCATCTATTACATTACAGTCGCAAATGTATAATAACGGAGATAGCATATCCAAATTTTCTCTATTTTCTTCCATTAATCTTCCGCCATTATCACCTACCTCACCTCCCACACTGCGTGTCTCCTTCATAAATCATCACGCGCATGTGTTCCCGTACACGTCACGCAGCCAATCAAAAGCTTTTTTTTTGCAACCAATTAAAATGATTATTTATTTAATTCACAGTATTTTTTGGCCAAATTTGGCCAAATCAAATTTTATTTTTATTTTGGGTCTCTCATATTTTGAAATTCAAATTCATTTCCGACCACGGAAGTCTGCGATGGGTGTCACTTAAATTATATGGAGCTGATTGTGAGTTTTGGGGAAAAAACGAAGAAACTATAGCATTTTCTCGATCGCATGGTGTTCTTCCAACCCCAGTAAAGTGTCCTAAGTGCAAGACTGAATGTAAATATTGCTAAGACCAACATATGTGGCGTTGTGTAAGAATCTAAGAATCCAAAGACGAACAAGAACCAGGCCAATAAGGTAAGAAACAGTTGATTCCATCATATGGTGAGTCAGTTAGGTTAGGTTAGGTTTGGTATTTGGTTTTCTAGTGTATTTTATATTCGCTTAGCCATTATTTGTTTTTGTTAAAGTCCCTCGAAAAAAAATCGATAAAAAACCCGGCCAATTTCCGACGGAAGTCAAGGTCATATTCGGTTTAAACACTTACAAATACAGTACACTAGAAAAATATATTTTTTACTTTCTAACAGTGGGGTGCGCTTATGCAAATTTACCCTATTATGAGGGGGGGGGGGGCTAAATCACAAACGAGTGATTTTCGACAAAAACGAATGTCAGATTTGAACTAATCGCATCAAAATCCATCAGAAAACCACTTTTTTTCTTCAAATTCCATGGTTGCTGTAATGGGCACATTACCAGCGTTTGCAAGAACTTACCCCGCCATGGCAAAAATTTCACAAACTACGTAATGGATACTTTGCCATAACTGGCTAAGTTCCTACTACTAATGCTACTTTACTCTGATATAATACTTCCACCAAAAGCTTCTACAGGAAATACACCTCAAACAAACCTGAACTCATCCTCCTCAACTTCGTTATCCTCGATGGAAATTTGAGGGTGATGGCGTCCTTCGTCCCTTATTTCACCGTCTTCTTCATGACTATCCATTCCAGACCACCAAATAGCCTCAAATAATATAATTCACACCATCGGCAGACGCCACTAGCTGCTGTGTTTATAAACGTTAGTACAGTGTTGCCAGTGGTTGGTGAACACCTATAGAACCCGCCAAGCACGCGCTCATCCTTAACGTTAAGTAAATGTGTATATGTTAAGTACTCGCCACTTAGTTCAGCGAAAAATTTATGCCGTCCTCTTCAGTCTCTATAGACATTAGTATTAGAATAAGAGCTTGGGCCATATAGTCGTAATTTTGTTGGTGGTACAGAAGTAACGCACACAACTCTCAGCAATATGTCAAGGGTTCCAGCCTCGTGTTAGCCAGTGTGACCCTACCAAACACTCTACTAACACTGGATAGAGCGCCTAAACGGCTAGTAAGCTGATAAGAGGCGAATATGGTAAAAAAAATGAACTGTATGCTATCATTTTCCTCAAGATTTTGAAGTTATCAGGAAGTCTGTGTTTTAACTCATTACAGAGAATGGTAACGCAAGATATGCAGCGTTGGCTAAGATCACGCTCTGCATTTTTTGATAGCTTTAAGTTGGTGCAAGTCTTTTCAAATTCATATCCTAAATATGCCCAGGGGTCAATGTGAGAGGTTGGGTTGCTGATTACTCTGTATTCGATTTACTTTAAATTTCCTTTTTTTATAATTACAGAGAGAGGGCAGAATAGATTTTAATTACTAATAATCATCATGTATACGAAATCCGCTAGAACTTCCGCCAAACCCAGCTAATGCACCAGAAAATCCACTATCCGCCAAAGGTCTAAAGCCATCAATTTTTAAAGTTCAATCCGCTAGATTTAGCGAATTTTCCGCAAAGTTGACAACACTATTAGGTACGGCCTACATAAAATATAATATTTTAATTCTTATTTATACAGAAATGTAACTTTTGATTGCAAAAAATATGAATCAACTAAAAAAAATAATAAATCATTCATCTTTATATGCATAGAGTATTTTAATAATTATTTCTCTATTATATGAACTCAAGACTTAGGGATTACGAGCCTTTGTATAAAACTTTCGCAACATTAAGTACTTGCTTCGGCAGTACATATACAGGTACTAACATTACTTTTTTTTTTACTTTTATCCTCTTCGCCACTGATTAGCTAGTTAGCTGCTTGGGCGATCGGTCAGGTCTCTGTTACGCAGTGTTGGCAAGTACTGGGCATACACTGGCTCCTGTCTTTATCTGAACCTGCGCCCGTGCTGGTCTTGAAAAAGTTCACACTTTTACTTTTATCCTCTTCACCACTGATCGGCTCTTTAGCCGCTTGGGTGATCGGTCATTTTTTTCTTTGTCACGCACTGTTGGCAAGTACTGGGCATGTACTGGCTCCCTGTTATACATTATTGGCAGGAACTGGGCATGCACCGGCTCCTGAATGTACCTGAACCTGCTCCAGTGTTATCGCCAAATAATTAATCACTAAAATTATCTCAGGATTGACCTTAAGCATTAAAAATTAACGATAATAATTCATTTTGTATGACCGATCGCCCGGGCGGCTAGCGAGCCGATCTTTTGGTGAAGAGGATAATAGAAAAGGAAAAGTAATCAGAGACATGACTGAACGCCCAAGCGGCTAACGAGCCGATCAGTGGTGTAGAGGATAAAGGTAAAACAAAAATTAATCCTGATAAGCCAGAGATATCGAATGCTATCTGTATGTAATTATTTTTAGTAAAATGTCTATAGCTAAGGTTAATTTCATTAACATAACTCTTACTTTTTTCACTTTTATCCTCTTCGCCGCTGATCGGCTCGCTAGCCGCCCGGGCGATCGGTCACGTCTCTGTCACGCACTGTTGGCAAATACTGGGCATGCACCGGCTCCTGAATGTACCTGAACCCGCTCCTGTATTATTATCATTATTATTATTATCATTATTATTATTATTATTATTATTATTATTATTACAAGACAGAGTTATGTTAATGAAATTAAATGTCTATAGCTAAGGTTAATTTCATTAACATAACTCTGTCGTGTATTATTATTATTATTATTATTATTATTATTATTATTATTATTATTATTATTATTATAGATACAGGACAGAGTTATGTTAATGAAATTAACCTTAGCTATAGACATTTCACGAAAAAAAGTTACATACAGATAGCATTCGATATCTCTGGCTTATCAGGATTAATTTTTGTTTTACCTTTATCCTCTTCACCAATGATCGGCTCGTTAGCCGCTTGGGCGATCAGTCACTTCTCTGATTACTTTTCCTTTTCTTTTATCCTCTTCACCAAAAGATCGGCTCGCTAGCCGCCCGGGCGATCGGTCATACAAAATGAATTATTATCGTTAATTTTTAATACTTAAGGTCAATCCTACGATACTTTTAGTGATTAATAATTTGGCGATAACACTGGAGCAGGTTCAGGTACATTCAGGAGCCAGTGCATGCCCAGTACTTGCCAACAGTGCGTGACAGAGACGTGACCGATCACCCAAGCGGCTAACGAGTCGATCAATGGTGAAAAGGATAAAAGTAAGTAAAGAGTAAAATACAGATCTCGAAATATCTCAATTATACCTGAAAATGTCCAAAGGAGGGCCACCAGACTGGTGCCTGCACTACGGCACTTCAGCTACCCTGAGAGATTAGAGAGCCTGAAATTTCCTAGCTTATACTGCAGACGGACAAGGGGCGACCTAATTGAGGTGTATAAACATCTCAAAGGGAATTACTCAGTCGAGTGCCCTTACCTGGAGCTGGAGGACGCTCGCCCCACAAGGGATCACAGCTCAAAGTTGAAGAAGCCGCAAGCCCAGAAAACTGTGAGGGGTAACTTTTTCGGAGTGGGAGTTGTGAACTTTTAGAACAATCTGCCGGAGAGTGCTGTGACGGCACCGAGCGTGAGCTCTTTCAAGACCAGACTTGACAAGCACTGGAGCAGATTCAGATACATTCAGGAGCCAGTGCATGCCCAGTACTTGCCAACAGTGCGTAACAGAGACGTGACCGATTGCCCAAGTGGCTAACGAGCCGATAAATGGTGAAGAGGATAGTAGGTAGGTAGTAGACATCTACCAAACAGGGAGGTACTACCGCCTGGGAAGATATTGGAAGCATAATGTATTGTCTAATGGTAGACCCTGCTGCCATATGGCATCACGAAAATTGTGACCAAGTCCCAGGTTGCTGATTTGACTTTCTACCTAATTAACATTAACACACAATTGCAGGGTCTGAATTGTTTCTCTTGCCATTGACAACACAACATACATACAGTATATTGTTTCTCACTTTTAATTGTATTTTATTTTTTATTTCTTTATTATTATTATTATTATTATTATTATTATTATTATTATTATTATTATTATTATTATTATTATTATTATTATTATTATTATTATTACTATTATTACATTTTCGCCCCCCAGGCCCCGATGTGGGTTAGTTACCTGTGCCCGGGTGGGCTTATCCCTGTAAAAAAAGAAGAAAAATAAAAGAAAAAAGGAAAAAGTAAAGGAAAAGTTTATCATTATTTTGAAAAAAAAACCCAACTGATATGTTATGTCCTGTCTTGCTTTCTTGCATCCCCCTGGAAAAAATCCTGCTGTTACCCATACCCTTGTGTACGAGCTCTCCATTGAGCTACATTAAATCGTCTAGCGTTTCCCAAATTAAATATTAAAAGTGGCTTTCCCGTACAAGAGGGTATAAGAAATACATGGTCAAAGCTAAAGGTTCGCAAGAGTCCCGGCCCAGATATGGTGCACCCCAGAGTGTTAAGGGAGTTGTGCAACGAGCTTGCTGAGCCCCTGAAGATCTTGTTCTGTAAAGGTCTAGATGAATAAAAGGTCCCCAGAACTGGAAAATGGCTTATGTGGGGCCTACATTGGAGAAGGGCGATTGTCACTCCACAAATAATTATAGACCAATGAGCCTGATTAGCATAGTGTGTAAAGTACCAGAGCCTTACAAGAGATACCATGATGGAACATATACTACGAAACAACCTGCCAACACGGTTTTATGCCAGGACGCTCCAGCTCCACACAATTACTGAAGGTACTGGATGTTTCGACTCAAATTCTGGAATAGGGCCGTAATAGCTATAATATATACCTAGAGTTTGCCAAGGCTTTCGACAGCGTACCCCATGAAAGGCTGATAATTAAATTGGAAGGGTACGAGATAAGAGAACTTTTCCTAGCGTGGATCAAAGACTTTCTGTACAGTATGATCGCAAGCGGGGTACCACAGGGCAGTGTATTGGGCCCGTTGTTGTTTGTTTGATTCATAAATGACATACCAAAAGCTATAGACTCCTCCATAACAATGTTTGCGGACGATGCCAAGTTATTTAGGGAAATTAAGAACCAAACAGATTGTGAAGAGTTGCAGAAAGATCTCTGTGTGCTTCACGAATGATCGATGAAATGGCTTCTAAGATTCAATGTCATGAAGTGTAAGAGGATGCACCTGGTACGTACTAACAGTAAGGAGGAGATTCACATGACCCAACATGACGAAGAAAATGCATTAATTGAGATGAATGTGACTAGGACCTGGGTGTATATGTCGCCAAGGAACTTAAGTTCGCGGGTCATTGTGAGAAGAAGGTGAATCAGGCAACGAAACTAGTAGGTCTTATAAGAAGGTCGTTTAGATATCTGGATAGTCACGATCTTCAAGAGTGAGGTGCGTTCCCGTCTGCAGTACTGTCACTCCGTCTGGTCCCCGAGATATGCTAGGGACTGTCAGATGATTGAAAATGTCCAAAGGAGGGCCACCAGATTGGTGCCTACTCTACGGATCCTCAGCTATCCAGAGAGTTTAGAACGCCTGAAACTGCCTAGCTTATACTACAGACGGGCAAAGGGTGGCCTAATTGGAGTGTAAAAACATCTTAGTCGAGTGTCTATGCCTGGAGCTGGCGGACGCCCTCCCTACAAGGGGTCATAGCTCAAGCCACAAATCCAGAAAACTGTGAGGAAATTTTTTTTTCGAAATGAGAATTGTGAAATCTTGGAACAATCTGCTAGAGAGTGTTGTGACGGCACCGAGTGTGAGCTCTTTCAAGGCCAGACTTGACCAACCAATATTGGCGCAGGC